TATTGTCATTGCTGGCAATTGAGATGTATAGCAGCAGGCATCATAGCTGAAAACTAAAAGTAATGATGGCTGTATGCTGAGGCTCTCCACAAAGCCACGGATTCCTAAGAACAGACAAGCTGTGAACATCTAAGTTTGTGACAAGCATGACATTACACATGAGACCCTACAGGCTTATAGGCTGTACTGATAGATTCACATAGATATCACAGGAAGATATCACGACAACCTTCTGAATTAACAAACTACTATTTCAAGGAGCTGGGAAGGAGCTTGGCCAGCAAAGTGCTTGCCATGCGAGCATGTGGAATTGAGTTTTATCCCCAGCAGACAGCTTTGGTTGTGTGTGGGAGCACACACCTGTAATCTAGAGTTGGGGAGGCGCAGGTGGGGTATCACTGAGGCTTGCTAGCCAGACAGTCTAGCCGAAAGAGTGAACTCCAGCTTCAGCGAGAGGCCCTGTCTCAAAAATTAAGATGAATTAATTTTGTGTTACACCTGAAGAGAATTCCATCATGTATATATGTACAACATTTTCGTTGTCCATTCATCATTTTAAGGACATAAAGGTTGTATTTTCTAGCTATTGTAAACAGTATCAATGAACATGGCTGAGCAAGTATCTGTGGAGTAGGGTGTTGAGTCTTCAGGCACCTGGGAAGGAGTGGTAGAGCTGGGTCGTATGGTAGATTTATTTTTTAGCTTTCTGTTCATTTCCAACACCAATTTCCCTAGTGGCTGCCCAGTTTGCAGTCCCCCCAACAGTAAGTGAGGATTCCCCTTTTCCCACATCCTCGCCAACATTGGTTGTCAGCTGTTTTCTTGACATTAGCCATGCTGACGGGGGCAAAATGAAATGTCAAAGTGATTTTAATTTACATTTTCCTAATTGCTCAGCATACTGAACACCTCTAGATATTTTCAGGTAAATGAATGGAACCAGAACGTACAATTCTGAGGTGACCCTGACCCAAAAAGACAATCTTTGTGTGTTCTCAATGTGGATCCTAGCTCCAAATCTTTACAGTCTATCACCTGGAGTAACAGTGAACATCAGGGAAACAAAGGGCCCTTGGCAGAGCTCTAGCAAGGGGAAGAGTGGGACATGGTGCAATGAAGGGGAGACTACAGGAGGGACTTACCTGGGAGGGGAGAGAGACACAGAGGGAGAGGGAGGAAGGTGGGATAAATAATACTAAGGATGTCTGAAAAAGCAGTAAGTAATCACATTATTTCATGCCTACTTAAAATTATACACACACACATGCCAGGCAGTGGTGGCACATGCCTTTAATCCCAGCACTTGGGAGGCAGAGCCAGACAGATCTCTGTGAGTTCAAGGCTAGCCTGGTCTACAGAGCGAGATTCAAGACAGGCACCAAAACTACACTGAGACTCCCCAAACAATAGAAGCTATTTCCATTGCCTTTGGTTGCCCCCTAGAAATTAAAGGTAAGTCTCTATTGCTGAAGACACCACACATGTGAGACACAGGACTTGGAGGAACCAAGCTGGAACCAACCTGAAAGCCTCTTCTTCCCAAGGACCAGCTCTTACAGTACCAGAAGAAGGGAGCTCTGTAAGAAGCCAACGGGAGAGAAGCAACAGAACTCCTACTGTCCGTAACACCTGTTACCAAACCAGTGACCAGAATGGCAAGACATCCCCAAAGATGAAACAGCTGTACTTACATCCTGAGGTAATCCAATCAAGGCCCAGTCAATGGAGGGAATTCATGTCCATTACTCATGCTGGTGAGGCCATAGGCCCAAAAGAGAACCAACTGCTGCCACCTCACTAAGCCAGTATAATTTCTAACTGCATTCCAAATATTTACCTATACCCACAGGTAAGTGTGGCACTTACTCCTCGCCAAATAAGTATCTTTCTGCAGCAGATGGAGACCCATTACAGAAAGCTACAAATGGCCAGAATGCCAGACTGACTGAATGGCTTGACCACTGATACATCTACAACACAATCGCTACACCTAAGCGTCAAGGAACATGCAAAGTGGGGAGTGGACAGAGGGATCTGAAGAGCCAGAGAACCAGGATGGGGTCTCTGTTGCTGGACAATGCTTTCTACACATGACAAGGAAGCTGCACCCAAGAAGTCTCCATAAAATGGTTGCTGAAACAAGGACTTAACAATGACAATACCAATATACATGCCAACATGCGTGGCATGGGTGACTTCTCATGGCTCTTCACCCCTAGAAGAGCTACAGGAAACTGATGGTTGCTTTGAGAGGGAGAATCAGTCTTCTCCATGAGCCAGCCCACTGAGAGGTTAGCCAGTCCCAAGAGGTCATCCCTAAACACATACGAGTAATATTAAATATCTCAGCAGACTGTCATTATAAACTTTATACATACATATGTAAACATAAAATATATGTGCATGTGTATAATTAAAGAAAAAGACGCCATTCCACTGAGTGTGATGCACAAACCTTAAGTCTCAGCACTCAGGATAATTCAAAGGCTGCTGGGTCTTTGTGAACTCGAAGCCAGCCTGGTCTACATGGTGAGTTCCAGGACAGAGCCAGTGTTACATAGAGAGACCCTGTCTCAATATGGATTTCTTCTGCCACGTTCCCCAAGGCTTCAGTGAAGAGACAGTGTTGTATGTTTATCAAGTGGGACAGGAAGAACGAGTGGGTGGGACCTCGAGGTATTGGAGGAAGGAGAGGGAAGGGAAAATGATGAAAATATAGTACTCATATATGAAATTCTAAAAAATAAAAGGAGGAAGAGTCAGGAAGACACTCAAGGTGGACCTCTGCCTCTACTCACAGGCACACACTCTCTCACACACACCCAAAAACATGCCCACACGCACATACACATTCTCATTCCTTCTCTCTCTCTCTCTCTCTCTCTCTCTCTCTCTCACACACACACACACACACACACACACACAGAGTTATTCCCAGTTCATAGTTGGAAAATCTAAGTTACCATTTATAAATATTTGTTAAATAAATATTAGGCAACTTGCCTCTTATCAAATGGAAATGTTTAGCACAATTTGATTGGGACTCCAGATCTATTTGACAGCAGAAGCTAAACAAGTAAGACATGCAGCTCAGTTTGGGCTTTTGAAAGCTGGATTATGTTTGCTTGACAAACCACGTGATGAGAAGCTGATATGGATGTACCACGCTTTCAGAGTCTCTCTAAACAAGAAGGTGGGAGATAGCCATGCTACATGCAAACATATGTCCAAGCCCTGAACATTTACCTTGTATGGATTCTGACTATTGTGGTAATATTTTATTTGTGCTCTAACAAATAAAGCTTGCCTGGGGATCAAAGGAAAAAGCCCGCCACTATATTAAACATAGAGGTCAGGCAGTGGTAGCACACGCCTTTAATCCTAGCATTCGAGAGGCACAGATTCATTCAGATCTCATTGAGTTCCAGGCCACACTGAAAACAGAGCCAGGCATGGTGGCACATGCCTTTAACCCCACAGCACTAGTTAACCATAGAGGTCTGGAGGTCTGTACAGACAGGAAGTGATGTAGCTGGGCAGAGAGAGGAAGTAAGATGGCAGGGCACAGAAAGGTATGTAAGGTGTGAGTATACAGGGAAGTAGCTCTCTTGGGCTTAGGTAAGAACTTGTGGCTGTGGTTTGTTCTATTCCTCTGATCTTTCAGCTTCCACCCCAATATCTGGCTCCAGGTTTTTTATTAGTAAGATCATCTAGCAATTCATGTTACAGACTGTTGTGTCTTTTCTCTGGTACTCTACAAAAACATTTCAAAACAGAGCCATGGAGCCTTAGTGCCAAAGAATTTAAAGCCTGCAAGTTATTTGGTTCAGTTTCACATTACAGCCTTGGAAAAACAAACTGGATGAGAACTTGCTGAAATAATGAGATTAGCGAGAGAGGTGGGAAGGGACCCGGCTCCGCTACAGTGACAGGAATAACTGTGAAGAGAGCAAGCTACACACTAAGGGGTATAAGGAATGTCTGCCGTGTGACTTACGCATGGACTCTTAATCACCACACAGTCGCTGTTGTCTTCGTCCTGAATAAAGCAGTTTCTGAGCAGGGTCACGTGGGCAACATACGCCACATCTATATTTGAATTGATACCTCTTACAGACCCGCAGTTACATCTTTTCCCACTATTACATTATTTCCATCTTAATTTCGGCATCAACTCTTACTTATTCATATTACTGAAGCTATAGACATGGAATTAAAATGATGTCAAATGAGAAGAGAACAAGAACCAGGCAAATGTAACATGTATTTTATGATAAGCATCAGAAAGAACTAAAAATAGCTCAGCTTTATTTTTGTCTCAAGGAAAGCTTGTAAAAAAAATAAGGTGCGCATTGCATGTCACCACTCTGAGCTGTAAAGACACGGAATCACCTGGAAAAGTCAACGCGTGTTCTCTTTTGTGGGAGAGATCAAGGGTTGTTTCGAAGACGTCCCATTCACATCCTCAGTTCAAGTCTTATTTTTGGCTTCTTGTTTCTTTTTTACTGCTTTCTTTGGTTATATGGAGACAATGGAGACTCGATGGTTCTGGATTTGAAGCTTTCAGATGAATCCTTCACCTGCAGCGGCAACCGTCACCACAGTTCCCTCTGAGGAAAATAACCAGTTGTCTTCTGGAGCTTCACCAGAAACTTCTTCAGCGCCGCTTTCTCTTTGTCAATCTCCCTGAAGCGAAGGGCTAGAGCTTTCTGGAGTTTCTGAATGTGAAGCTTGGTTCTCTTTTCCTCTCCGAGGTTGTTCACAAGGGCCTTCCGCAGGTTCGAGGGGTCGCCTCCAGTTTTGATGTTCGTTTTTCTCACCATGCCGCCCATTCCACCCAGTCTGTAACTGTGGCCGAGGAGGCTCGAGGAGGCTCGAGGCAGGGCAGGGCAGCTGCCTGTAAGTGTCTCTGTAAAGTGATTCTTCTATGGTTTGGAATAAAGAACCAGAGTGGCATGGAAACAGAGCCTCACGGAACCCTGGAGCTGAGTGACATCAGGACCTCTAGCCCCAAACTCTAAGATTCAGTGCTCAGGAGACAGTTTTGAGCTAGGAGATTCACCATTCTTACTCTAGGAACATAGATGAGTATATCTGAATGCCAGACTGGCAGTCAAATACCTACTGCCACTTTGTGTTTGGACTTGATGCCACATGGTAAGTGCCTTAGGTGGTCATAATCAGGGCCAGAATGTTTATGTTTATGGGGAGAAAAATTAGAAGGCTGATTCAACAACTGGGTTAGTTTCAAAAGTGATTCATTCTCATATGTATGTGTATTTACACATATACATTTATATATAATACACATATATAATATCTATAATCATACTATATATATTTATGTTTAATATATTATTTTCTTTTACATATTATGTTATGATATTTATATGTACAATATATATTCCAAAATGGAAATATATCTTTATTACGATATATATTTCTGTTACAGAAAGAACTAAAATGAAGACAGTAGCAAAGGTATATGTATGCTGATACACGGGACTGGGATTGGAGAGATGATATGAACCTGTGATTTTTCTGAATCAGTATGAATTCATGGTTGTATCTGTCGGTCAGTACAAACCATAGTTCTACTGTCAGCACAGCAGGGACGGATCACCACTCTAAAACTGTCACCCACGGTCACTCACGGCAGCCCAAGGGGCTCTTCTAATCTCTAAGAGATTTCAATTTCAGCAGAGCCAAGTCCTTCACACCGAGCAGAATCGCAGTGTGACCAACCGAGTGTGACTAATCTCAGTGTGACCAATCTCAGAATCAACCAGTGTAAGCAACTGCAGTTTATTAAAAGACATTTGAAACACAGATTTTTACGAATGAGTAAAAATCTTGGAAAGAAAGTAAGCCACACTAGAGACCATGAATGTGTTTTTCAAAGGAGAAACACATTGAAATGTCTTGACAGTGAACACACATGCTGTTTTGGTGGGCCTCAACTGACATCTGAAAGGGTTGCTAGGAAGTCTCCACACACTTGAAAAATTTCTTAAAATAACGAGAGGCTATTTTAACACACTGGCTGCCTGGCAGTGGACAGTCATGAGGTTGGCTCTGTGAGGAAGCCCGATTTGATCAGGGGGCAGAGGTCAGTTTTGCATACAGTGGCAGAGGAATGGAGTTTCTGGAGAGGACAGAGAACAGGCCCTGGAGGGCTGGAGAAACAGGAGGCTGTAAGAAAGAAAAGATGGGCAAGTCCCCTCTGCAAGTCACCAGGGAGGGGTGCTCTGGACGGGAGATAAAACTGGAAGCCACTAGGGTTGTGGGGTGGGGATGAGGGTGGGGATGAGGGTGGGCAGGATATGTTCCTTTAATGTAAAGGAGGCTTTCTGGTTGAGATTTCCCAGAAGATTAAAGTCTGTAAATGGGAGCATAGAAAGGGCTTAACTAAATGTTAGTTGTTCTGGGATTACTGATTCTCAGCTGACAAGGGTCAGCTTCAACCAGGTCCTGAGTGACAGATTCCTTCCCCTTCTGTGTCCCCATAATTTGTCCGTGTGTGTGTGTGTGTGTGTGTGTGTGTGTATGTGTCTGTGTCTGTGTGTACATGCTTATGAAGACACACATGTATGGAAGCCAAAGGAACACTTTAGTTTTGAGGCAGGGTCCCTAGATCACCTGGAATTTGCCAAGGAGGCTGGGTAGCAAGTCTCAGGGGTCTCTTGTCTGTAGATGTAACCAACCGTCTTATTAAATAAGAAACACAGAAACAATGTAAAAGAGAAAGCCGAGAGGTCAGAGCTCAGAGCTAAAATCTCACCCTTCC